TTGCATAGACAATCATCTAGTGTTGCCATTTTATCCTCCCAGCCCGATCTCATCTCCTACCCACCAAAGCAGGGCAATCAACGCTGGCTTTGTAGTTGTGCCTATAGAATGTATACCATAAGTACCGAGTACTAATACTCGAAGAGAAACCGATAATTTCTATGACTCCATACGGTAAAAAAAATTCCTACAAACATATTTGTTACCTGGCAAACTATTGAAATCACCCAGTTAGGAAACAAGGGATCGCAGAGACCGGATATTTTAGAATTTAGCTGGAGATTTTCTTACTTTTCAAATTAATATTATTGCGGAACAGGGTAGTATCATCCTCATTTCACTTTTTTTTACACATCTCATGGCAGTTCTCCATTTCATGCGACAAAGAGGGGTGTTGGTAGAGCACTCCTAAAGCCGATGACCCATCCATCCATGGATGCTCTCGCGAAGCTCTCGGAAATCGTGGCGCGTCTCGCGTACGTAAGGCACGTAGCAAGTGAGTGAGTGGCTGAGCCATCTGGAGAAGCCGCGTAGTGCCGATAAATAAGACGCGCATCCACCGGGAATATCCACTCTGCGTATCCACTTTCCGGCTATTCTGCTTTTCTTGTATCGTCCTTGTTTCTTCCCTAGCTGCTTCTTTCGAGGAAACGGGATTTTTCCAGGGAGAAAATTATCGGCTGAAATGAAAAATAAGAGAAAGTGTATGATGTATGTTTTGAATAAGCTTGGAAGTATACTGATTGACGAGATTTTTCGCGAAATGAGTCGAGCTCTTGGAGCAATGAACCGAAAATTTGTGATCAGTTGGATATTTTTTTACTGCTTTTTTAGGGTTTTTTTTTTTGTTTTTGTTTATGTCATTTAACTCTGTTTTGTGAATAAAAATATGTGGTTTTAACAAATTCATTTTCACTAAATGTACTGATTTTGTGATCAAACAGAATTTCAGGAAGTTTGTGCAAGACTTATTAAGAGGTTACCACTTTCATGAAACTTGAGGAAAAAATGCTCTTTAAGTGTATTTTTCTCAACAAATTGTATGGTTTGCTGAAACTTTAATGATACCTAGTGTAAAATAAGGATTTCAATTGTATAAATTGAACCACTAATTTTTTTAAACTAACAGAAACCACGATTAAAACCTACTAAAAAATTAAGACTTAGAATTTTATTTATTCATACTAAATACAGTAAAGAACTAGATCATGAGTTACTATGTCATGTGCGCATATATGTATGTACACGATCCTATAACGCGCTGATAACAACTTTTCTTGGAAGATGTTGATTTAGACACTACACAGGGGATATCTTTATTACCTTTCTCACGAGTAGTAAGCATACGATGTTAATTGTCTCTTCCCCTATCTCTTATCTTCTCCAAATGTACGTTTCCAAAGAGCGGCTAAATAGATCCATTACATAACAACGCGAGGAGAAAATATAAGTCAGTGGAAAAGATAAATGAGGACAAACATCATACTTAAACTCCAAACTTTATTTCACCTTTAATTAACTTTCAAGCTAAAGCCATAAGTGACAGATCTCTTATTTTAATATTAATAATTAAAAAAAAAAAAAAAATTCTATTCGTTGATATTTAGAGTCTTTACAATGTATACATTTACCAAGCACACTTTTGCTCCATGCGCTAGTCGACAATTAATTCGCCCGAAACAAAGACCTCGAAAACGTAATTAAACCACCACCCGAGAGAAAGCGGGCAGCGACCACGCCATACGTACAATAATGATAGTAATGAATTCGGATTTTGCATTCATTGTCCCCGCTTATACTCTCGACTCTCGCAGCAGTAGCTACGTACACCCTTCCTGCATGTTAACCTACGTAAATACATATAGAAAACACGCAAGAAGGACCCGAGAAAAGACGCGTTCCTCTGCTTCTGTGCACATAACGAGTAACATACGGCGGCCATAATATCTCCTCGTAATAGGTATAACATTAACGCGGGCAGCGATATTGTAATAAAGGCACCGTTTACTTTGGGGAAGCTAGAAGAGAGAGGTTGGGGTAGTGTGTGTGCGCGTCCCGTCGTCGTCTCCCCTCTGTTTTTTCGGGCGAGAAAACACCCTGTATCACGAGGCGGTGCATAATTTATCGGCTTCGGCTTCCCTCTGCTGCCTGTGTGTACAGCTTCCTCCGTCTCTCTCTCTCTCTCCCCTCGGATACGTACGTGTACATGGAGCGTATATGTACACATAATAGGATGCATTACACGCGCGATGGGCTAGGTATGGCTGTGAAGCTACGCAGGGCACTTTTATTACGCGCCTCGCTGTTGGTACGGGGGAGGGATTATTGCGCTTTAATCGATTTCGAGCGCTCGTCACTTGGCAGGGATGAATCGATTCTGCGGCTCTCGTACACTGTACTGCTTGCTTCCTTCGTTTTTATTTTTCTTGCCGTCATCTTTTGGGAACTGTAGCGTGTTCGATGCAGGTCGATGGCTCTTTAATAAGATCTTGTGTTTTAGCGTTGAATCGTCCGATGGAGGATTTTTGGAAAGTTTCCGCTCTCTACCAAATTAAGTATAAAAAAAATTTAACGAATGTTTTTGAATGAAATAAATTTATCTTGTCCTGAAAAAACAAGGAAGAGGTAAAGTGGTCGACTTTGTTATCAGTAGTAAACAACAGGTTGTTTTTTTTTTTTTTAGAATAGAATTGGTTTTATTGCGACTAGATTACAAATTGTGCCTTCCGACGTCAGATACGCCGATTAGGAACGTGTACACTTAGTAAGCGACGCGATGCCACTCTTGTTTTGAGAGTCGATTGTTATTTTGCCTCCCTCGAGCGCAATAACTTGCGTCTCACGATTTTTGCGATTTTACAATTCAGGATATGTATAATATTTTCGTGAGATATTTGCAGTTTGTTTTGGCTTTTTTCCATTTTCTCGAATCATCAACTCAATATTTTTGCTTATTTTTTCTTTCTTTTGCACGACATTGGAATCCATACAAAATATCGGTCGTTTCTTAACTTTCTAAACTTATACGACTATGTAAATTCAACCTACACGGCATTGCTTCCTCGCGCGCATTGACTCTTTATAATATAGGTACTTTTTTCTCACAAGCGACCATAACAAATCGAACATCACCGTCATCGGCTGCTCCCTTCACTTATCAACATTGAATCATGTAGTAATACGTGAAAAGGTCACACAACATATAGTATCGGTTTACAGTACTGTTTATTATGTTAAGTTTAAAATAAATAAATAAATGACATTATAACATGCAATAATAATTATAATGATAATAATAAAACAAAACAAAAAAAACACAGCGCCGTCGAGTCTCAATACAGTCAAGGTCGCACGCGAGGCCTTTTACCCATATACCTCACTCGTAGGGATACCGATCACTGTAATATATATATATATATTTTTGCTTTCCCCTTGATATTAATAAATGTTATTTATAGATCACACGTTATTATCAATCATGATTTAACCCGTGCTTCATTAACTGTACAAAGTTTGACGCATTTTTATAAACGTGCCTCCTCATGCGAGGGAAACGAAAAACGTGCGCCAGATGATAGTGAATAATCCACTTTCGTCACATGCACCTTAATTCCTACACAACATCTCCTTACGGTCTAGGAAATTTTTGGTATCTGCCGAGCTCCCGAACGATTAGCACATCCATCGTCTCTCTGTTTATATTTATTATAATTTTTTTTTTTTTCTTAACTTCTGATATACATCCATCGTCTTGTATGAACGAACGTCTACTATACAGATATCTACAGGATAGTGAGTAAATTCTGATCGGACGATTATTATCATGGATAAGACTCGAATTTGGGCTGCAGGAATGGAGATTAAGTTTTGAGCAGTACTTCATAAATGTTCATCTTCAAGAGGAATTAGGGAAACGAAATTGTAAACGAACCCCTAATCAATATGATTATCAGACGTTTTGGGGTGCGTCAATCCGAGCCTATCGAAGATTCGCATGACCAGTATATTATATTATGCATAAATGTAACTCGAACGACCAATCGTCTTATTCAATCGTGAATCGTCAATCATCTCTGCTTTATCCGGTACCATAAAATTACAATACATTTTTTTAAATGTCGGCGCTTCTTCTCCATTCATTCATTCTTTGATGTGTGTGTATATTATATTTACTCGATAATACCCTTAATGAATGTATCTACTATTGAACATGTAACGATTAAACGACACATCACTCATCTATAGCTCTCAATTCATTGCAAAATTCAATGTCACATCCATAAGTTTCCGCGCTCCGGAATCATACATAAGCATTCGACAACCGTTTGAGGAAGGGGATAGGTATAATTATAATTATTGATATTATTGTTATTATTATTATCGTACAAACCTCTTAAAAAAGAAAAACTCGTCTTTAAATGACAAAATGAAATGCAGCAAATGTATATGAGAAAACAAAGATATGTATCGAACAAACGAACAACTAAACGAAGGGAGAGTGATCTCCTCATCACTGTCCGCGATGTGCGTTACTGCCCTCGTCGGTTCTCAGCTGCTGTTGCTGCTGCTGCTGCTGCTGCTGCTGGGGTAGCTGGAGCGCCTGCGAGCCAATAGCGTTCTCTGACCAGTCGTAGATTAGAGGCGGCCAGTAGGCAGCGCTTGCCGCAGCCGAGTGATGGAAGTAGCTCGCGAGTCCGCCCACGCCCGCCGAGTGGTGATGACTCGCTGTCAAACCCTGATGCAGCCTCTCGACGGTGCTGCACTCCGTGAGACCAATCTCCTCCGGCACATCCACTACCATCTTACTACTGCTGCAGCTGTTGTTGTTGTTGTTATTGTTGTTGTTGTTGTTGTTGTTGTTGTTGTTGTTGTTGTTGTTATTGTTGCTGCTGCGGTCCGTCGCCGTCGCGCCACTGGTCGTCTCGTCCTCGAAGAGGTAGTTGTTCGGCGAGGCCATCGACGAGGGTGTCGATGACAGAGCGGGCGACTCGACGACGGACCGGGGCCTGTGTCACTCGCCCGGCGTGCCCGGCTCGCCCCCCGGCGGCCTCTGTAGCTCCTCCGACGCAGCCACTTGGCCGGTGGTGGCGTTGCTGCTGCTATTGTTGCTATCGGCAATGTTGCTGCTATGCTGGTTGTGGGGGCTGCTCGAAGAAGCCCCCGGCTCGCCTCAAACTTGACTCCTGGCGGTGGCGTTGGCGTGCTCGGCTCCCGGCGAGTGTGGATTGCCACCACCCGCCGCCGCCGCCAGGGCGTATTGGCAGGCACTGAGGCTACCACCACCACCCGACGAGGCTCTTGAGCTCACCGGGCTGATGCTCCCGTTGTTGCCGCTGGCCGTCGTGGCGCCGTTGTTGGCACTGACACTGCTGCCCACCCCAAAACTTGTGCTGTAGCTGTTGGCGTGCTGTTTGGCCTTGAGCCGCAGCGAGGCTATACTGGTGGACAGGTGGGTAGTCTCAGAGGCGGCGCTGGCCCTGTGGTGCGAGTAGACTGGTGGGCCGTAGGGATGATGGGGAGCGGCCGGGCCCCCGTAATGACAGGTGGCGCCCGTTCCGGCGACCGGCGAGCCAGCCACACCTAGACCCGAGCCCATACCGGGGATCATGGAGGTGGGTGCCTGACCCACCGAGACAGACATACCGCCAACGTGGCTGCCCGACAACGAACTCGTCGTGTTGAAGCACGGACTGACTTGGGGATGGTGGGGGTGGTGGCCACTCGTCTGGACTACGCTGCTCAGTGGGTTGACCGGCCAGGTGAAGGGCTTGCTGTTGAGGGGCGAGGGCACCTTCGTCGCCCAGTTGTTGTAGGAACTGTAGTTGTAGAGTGACTCCGCGTCGGGGAAAGGCTGGCCCATGAAGCTGTTCAAGCTGGCGGACGTCGGGAAGCCGGTCTTGAAGTTTTCGGCGGCCGCGGCAGCTGCGTTCAAGGCGTTTCGCTCTCGCTTGCGCCACTTTGCTCGACGGTTTTTGAACCAGACCTAGAAAAAAATTAATTGCCGACATTGGCATGTTGTTAAAATACAGTGAGATATATTATACCTTAAACGGGATGGGTATTTCATGTCGTGGAAGAAATATAGGAATTCCTATATATACACACTGCAAAGACCACACATAATATATAGTCCAAAACACGTAAACTGCATTAGTGAAAGGCTAAATGTTTGCGTGTAGAATACGACTCTATATTTACTACGAGAAAAAACAGCAATTATGAAGTATTATTTTTCTTGAAGAAAAAAAAAAAAAAAAAAAAGAGTTCACATACTTAATAACAGTAAGTAAAAGCTAGTTTTTCCCCCATTCACAATCACCCCCCACAATCTCCTTCAACTTGTCTCTCCTTCAATCATTTACCCCTGATTAAAAAATTTACACGCAGCAGCACTCCTTCCTCCCCTGTAATTCGAGAGTCTTTCCACGTTCCTCTTCTCGCTTGGATTTATATGTATCGCGTTCGTGGAGTATTACTCATGATAAAACCACACGGGCTTGGGAGAAGGAGAAATGATACAGGAACGAGAGGGATAGACGTTTCACGCAGAGACAAATGGCAAGAACGGGGGAAGGAGGAGTAGTAGCAAGCCTTCCACAGCGCCTCTGTGCTACCGTACGCCATTCTGAAATATGACGGCGTTAATTCAACACGGTGCGCGCAAGCTCGCTCAATACCTCAACCTCTTCTTCTTCTTTCTGTGCCTCTAGTAAGTACCCCTTTCTAGCTCCTGTTGAAGCTCGCCTGCTTGTCTGGAATAAACGGATATTACCAACCTCTGAGAGCTCGTCGTGTAATTTTCACGAATAACCCAAACGAAATCATCGCGAGATTTTTCATACTTGCCCAATTCGGATTCGAAAACAGTTGACTCGAGAGTATAACCAGAATATTAATGTGTAAGATTCTAAAGATTTCTCGAGGCATTATTTTTCATTGGCGATCATATTCAACATTGCAAGCATCACTTTACCCGGTCGCACTGGTACCTACTTCCGCATTGCTGGTCAAAGTGTTCTATCAAAACTCCACCGCCACCTTTGCGTCCATCGATCCCCCCCGATAAACGTTGGCGAGCACTTCACTTTTCCAACAGATGCTCTTAGAGTTCGGGGAGGCGGCAGTGTTACACATACATAGGAGCGCGGAAAACTCATCTAATGGCAATTACACGGTTGGCAGCGCTCGGGTGCACGTCTCTCCTGGCGTGACTGTAAGTAAAACGTCGGCCAACTTAGAAGCGGAGGGAATATGGTAGGTGAGGAGGAGAGGAGCGGAAAAAAGGACGTCGGGAAGCTGAGTAAGTAGCTTTAGGAGGAGGTATAAGGCTAAGTTCTCGCGTGAAGAGAAGAATGGAGAGGCAGGACCTGTGGTGAAGAATGGAAGAGTATGGGGAGAGGGGTCTCCTCGCAAGATGGATGGGCCGATCGGTCGGTACGCTTGCTTGCGCAAAAACTCGGGGCGAACGTTAAGCGCCGCGACGAGTCATTGAAAGAGGAGTGGGGGCGAAGCGCCTTAATGAAGAGTAATATGCCGCTAGTGCAAAGAGAGGAGGGGCCGTTCAGCTTCTTGCTCCCCTCTTGCACTGTGTTCCCTGACTTTTTGATTGAAGGCACGTGAAGTTTTGCGCTTCATCCTTTGTTCATCGTCTCATAGATCTTGTGATGTGAGATCTGACCGATGCTTTTGGATATGAGAGGAGGTTATTCTGTTTCAGGTTTTACGCATTGGACGCAAGTAGAGTAGCACCCTATTTGGTCAGACGCATTACGAAAGCACTTAATTCACCTATCAAACTATTGTTATTTAACAATCATTCGAAATTTTTAAATATACTAGGAAAACAAGTTTCTAATTCGATGAGTGATGTGGGATGCTTGCGCGTATTTGAAAGCGAATGTTGACTAAGACGAACAAAATCGAACCAGTAAAGCAGACTTTGGAGAAAAGGGCAGAAATACGTTTACTGTTTGATCAAATAAAATACCAGGAGCTATTAACTTTATGCAGACTTAAATTAGATTGACGTAGCGCAAAACAAGCTCTTGGATGTGTAATTGCTTTACGATCACGGGAACGCAAGGGTATGTGGTACACGATCCAAGGGATGGAATCACAAGGGTGATTCGCTTTGTATCTAGTACGTCTTTCGTTGCGACTCGATAGCTTGTTCTATCTTCTTTCTCTCAGTTGGCTGGGATACTTGTTTATTGCTCACTGACCTGCGCGAGGAGCTAAGCTGCGATAGTACGGTCTCGATTGAGACAGTTCGTCGGGCCTGATGTTGTGAAAACAACGTGCTCTATGATTTTACAGTTTTATTGGAGTAGCGTTAAACTTGTGAGTTTTATTTAGTACGATACTTTGAAATTATATTCCACGATTACCCAAATAATCTCAAAGTGTAAATGTGTCTGGTTAAAAAAAAAAAAAAAATAATAATGACAATCACAGTGCGAAGGGCATACCATCACGTTCAACCGAACAAAAAGGAGGAAAGTTGCAGCGGGACATGGCGTAAATCAAAGTCCCATGTACTGTATACTTTTTCAAATAAAACAAGACTCGTGCATCTTGGGCACGCGCCGTGTATCAGGGGCTGAGAAGAAAAACTCGCAAACGCGCGCGCACCGCAGCATGTCAGGCGAGCAATAAAACCTCATCGAATCACGACCCCCCCAACTGTCCGCTCGACCAGAGCGTAAGCTTCTCTCTCGGCATGGCGGCTCAATCTACAGAAGCTTATATAACTGTAATGAGACTGCGGACGGAGGCCTCATCAATCACCCCCACCCGTCTCCCCTTGCCCAGCTTTTCTTAGAAATCTTTTTCTTTTCCTTTCGTTCTCTCGCGGTTTTTAGCAGGTGTTTTGGATTTATTTATTTATTTATTTTTTTTCACGGAATTTTTACTTATTTTTCACTTATTTATCTATCTTATGTTTTTGACCAGATATCCTAAATAAAGTTAAAAGACATTCTAGTAAGATACCAATTTGTACGAAAGATAATGATAGATTATTAAAACAGTTTAATATCTTGATTTAAGTTGATTTAAGCTGTCATGAAAAACCTCTTGCCAATATAATTGTGTGTTGCTACATTTCCCAGTTTAAATTATGAAATATTTTCATAAAAAAAAAAAAAAAAAAAAAACAGTTTTTTTAAACACGCCAGTACTTATAAATATCATTGTACTGCCAGTCCGAAGCCTGGATAAAGTGTGACGGAAGAAATTGTTACAGTGAAGGGTATCTACTTCGTAACAGAAAACAATAAGGGTACAAGAAAAATCCAATTTTATTTTTATTAAAAGTGACTTATTACTTGCAATTTGATAACTGGGTCACAACTCAATTTTTTTTCTCGTCATGGAACGCAACTGAACATTTTGGGGGTCACTATCGCATCACTGAAGAATTACAACTGTACCCTAAAGTTAAGATGACTAATCGCTTGCCTTATCAGGCCATAATATAGTATCAAGGACTTCTTACTTGCAGAGTATCTATGCGTAGAAGTCATAGCCTCCCCAAATACCACTAAAAATCCTTAATACATACGCGTTACGCCGCAAAAGACATTCAGAGTTGATCCCACCTATGGCCATCATCTTAAGCTCTCGCGTAGTATTAGGTGTTGTATACATGTACGTGGCTATGGCTGTGGTCAATCGGCCAACGATCGGCGATTTGTCATAGTAAACTGAGAGAGGCTTGCCTCAAGAGCGAGGCAGATCATGTCCTTGCCTGAGACTGATGAAACGATAGATTCATGACTAGCTGATACGCGTAATTGATATCGATCTGTCATGATTTTGAGAGGCAGAGAGGATGGGCTAGTTGTCGTTGCATGATAGGCGCACAATTCATTAAGCTTCCTGGAAGTTATGGCTGAGATGATTTCCTGGCGTGCCGTTGACTGATTGCAAATTTGTTTTCTGTATTATAATAAATATTTAGCATGAAATGGTAGAAACGATGGTATTTTTCTTTTTTCACTGAATTACTTTTGAAATTATAATTTCAGCAGCACGTCAGTTATTGTAATCCACTGATAATGACTTGTTAGCAGCGTCATTTCAAGAATAAATCTTTGCCATAGAAATAACGTTACTCTAGTAAGTAAGATTAATACGTGAAAAGGAAATTCCTGGCGCATCATTTATCATTCTAAGGTATGGAATATATGCGTGTGGTTCTCGTACGTAAAATATAGTCAGAAGAAAATACAATACGACGTTCAAAAAATATACGAATCATTCGCATTTCACGAGAGGGAATCTTTGTGCATTTATCTTCTGTATCGACTCAAGAACTGTGTAGGGATGGGCTTCTGAATACGTCTCCTTGTCGGAGGTTTTTCTCAAACTCGTACCCATTTTATAGAGTCGCTCCTACTTTTGTGCTTTTTATGGCTCTTTTAAGTTGAGGTATTCTCTAATTGATATAATTCATTCGTTTGGAAGGAAGCATTTTAGTATCAAAAATTTTTTTTTAATGAGAAGCATCAATATTTTACGAGCCACGGATTCGTAGTATATCGTTTGTAAATAAAATTACTACAAAATTAGGGTGGCAAGTTTTTGTAAAGGTCCATGAAAAATGCTATTCTCTTGACTCAAAATTTACTTTCTCTAAGTAACCCTTGATTTAGTATTGAAGTGATAATCTCTACGTCACAAATAAAAAAAAGGAACAACTGATAGAACAAGAATGATAACAAAGCACGCAATAAAATTCAAATGAAAACAGCGTTACCAAGAGAAATAGGAAACGAAGAAAGTTAAATAGAGAAAGCGAGCTTTAGGGGGCGAGAAAAGGAAGAGGATGTTGAGAAACAGTCAGGCCAAAGGTCTGGCGCGTTCTGTACGCGTACTAGCTGCTGCCATAGTAGAACAGCTAGGAAGTGCGGGAGAAGGACGGACAGAGAGTGGCACGCAAGGGGTAGAGAACCGGAGGAGGATTATATTGATCTCCTTGTG